CAGTGCTGACTGCTTTCTTTGTAATTTTTCAACATTAGATGAGGAGGCTGTTCCCCACAGTTGAATGCCGTATAGCCATATCGGTTTTATAACTGTTTTGTACAAAAGCACTTTGTATTCCAAGTCTAGAGCTGACCGTGGTCCAATTAGCCAGTACATTTGAGCTGACTTTAATTTTATTTGTGTAACCTTGGCTTCAATATGGTGAGTCCATGTTAAGCGGCGATCAAGGTGGATACCAAGATATCTCACATGGCTTTGTTCAGGAATTTTTATATTGTTTATCTGTACGGGAGGACAATTTTCTCGTCTTAAAGTAAATGTAACGTGAGTACATTTTGTTGCATTGACCTTTATTTTCCATTTGTCCAGCAACTTTTCCAATTCGCCGATGTGAAGCTGGAGTTGTTCAGAAGCTATTGAAGGGTTATCATGTATGCTTACAAAAGCGGTATCATCCGCAAATGTAGATGTGTGATTCAGTGCGCTCGTTGGCATATCTGCAGTATATAAAATATATAGGAACGGACCTAGAATACTCCCCTGGGGTACTGCTGCAGATATTTTTCGACGTGAAGAGATCACATCTTTAGATCTGATTTGAAGAGATCTTTCATATATATAATTTTTAAGCAGTTTGTGAACATTCGCAGGTAGTAATGTGATAATTTTGTGTATTAGTCCGTCGTGCCAGACTTTATCGAAAGCTTGAGAAATATCTATGAATAATGCTGAGCAATATTGCTTGCTCTCGAAGGCCTTCCGAATAAGAGTAGTTATTCGATGTACCTGTTCGATAGTGCTGTGCTTTCTTCTGAAACCAAACTGATGGTCAGGAATAATGCAATTATCGTTAAGGTGTAGTATAAGGCTTTCAAGCAATAACTTTTCAAAAAGTTTTGAGAATATAGACAACAGGCTAATGGGACGGTATGATGTCACTTGAGTGACATCTTTTCCCGGTTTTGGTATCATAACAATTTCGGATACTTTCCATGAGGTAGGGAAATATCCAATACGTAGCATCGAGTTAAAGATGAACAAAATAATTCTCAGTGCTGAATTGGGCAGGTTACTTATCATCGTGGTAGTAATTTTATCTATACCAGGTGATTATCCTGCCTTTAGAACCGGAATTTTATTGGGCGTGGAACCACATTATTTATAATGTTAGCACTAATAGAAGAATCTGTGTCATTTTCAGTAAACACATTCTCCAAGTGATTGGCGAATGCTTCAAGTTTTTCTGACGTATTTTTTGCCCATTGACCATTCTGGAGGCGTATGGGTGACTCATATGCAATAGGGCATTGCATATGTTTAACAGCTTTCCAGAGACTATATTCTGTTTTCTTAGTAGGGTCTAAGTTTTTGAGATAATTTCTCAGATTAGATTCCTTATTATTTTTTAAGGCGATGTGAAGTCTTCTTTGGCACTGATTAAGTTTAACCTTTATGTTTGGAGATCGCGATTGTTGCCATTGACGCACAGTGGTATAGGAAAAAAAAAGAGGGAAATAATTCGGTAACTTCTAAACGGTCAATCCGATTTTGATGAAATTCGGTTTTGAATTTGGACCTTATAGGCCAACCAGGGGCCCGGCGGGGGGTCCTCAAATTAGGGCACCTCGGCTATGTTAAATTTTTAAAACGATCCTATTTCTTCATATGAGTTCCGATTTAAAAAAAAATTTCGTATATAGAATCTACTCATCGAGCACTATAAAATTTTAATTTAAATTTTACCGTCCTTACTTTAGTTTTTTGATAATAGCGGGTCCAAATATTCCTGATTTTCGCCATTTTTTTTTATTCGCTTAACAACAAGTTTATATATCAAGCAGTGAAAGAATTATGTAAAAATCATGACTGAGTCCATTTAAAAAATTAAAAAAAGGCGATTTTTTGCCATTTTTTTTGGGAAAAAAGTATCTTTTTCTTTTTAAGTTATCTAAAAAGTTTCTAAGAAGATGTATATAGAATTTATACTTTTTGGAAAGCTGACTTTACATAAAATAGGATAAATGACACAAAACCTAAAAATTTTTGATACCGAGGGGACCAGGTCCATCCAAAAAAAACCCTATTTTTTATGGAAAATTCAATTTTGAGCAAAAATTCTCAAATCGCATAGTCGATATCAAATTATAGTGACCTGTTTTATATGACCCAATATGTTCTTAATCATTTTGTAACGGGTTTCGATAACACCGCCCCTGGTATGGATATAATAGGCAAAAAACCAAAAAATCCCATTTTTGGGATTTTTTAAAACTTTTTTGGGAATTCCGGGATTTCTAATAAGAAAATTCGAAATTTTTATTTAATTTTGGATTTTGAGTAAAAAAATCTACCTAACTGTAAAATTTCATCAAAAAATATTCATAAATAAAATTTTTATTGCAATTTGAAAATTTTGTATCTTCGCAAAAACTGAATAAAAAACATTTTTTAATTTTTTAAAAAAAAGTATTCCGCGAATTTTTTAATTGTTATAGTGCTCGATGAGTAGATTCTATATACGAAATTTTTTTTAAATCGGAACTCAAATGAAGAAATAGGATCGTTTTAAAAATTTAACATAGCCGAGGTGCCCTAATTTGAGGACCCCCCGTCGGGCCCCTGGTTGGCCTATAAGGTCCAAATTCAAAACCTAAACTCGACAACACCTCCTCTTTGTGCATACCGAATTTCATCAATATCGGATTGACCGTTTAGAAGTTACCGAATTATTTCCCTCTTTTTTTTTCCTATACCACTGTGTGACGCCTGAGTGTTCTCTTTTCTTTAATTAGAGACTCAATGTTCCTAGGACATTTCGAATTTTTGTAGTATCCCAAGGTGACTGGGGGTGTAGAAACTTTGACAGCATCTTGTAAGATATCCGTAAATATATCGACAGCGGATTGTATTTCATGGTCATTTTTCAATGAAATGTTTTGTGGCAAGTGTGAGCTGACATACATTTTATACTTTAACCAGTTCATCATCTTGTTAGGGAAACAAGAACAATAGTTTTCCAATTTATTTGGGGTTTCTAATAACGTTAAAACTGTAGGCGAGTGGTCTGACGAGAGGTCCAGTGAAGGGATCACTGAAATAAATTCTCGTTTTATGTTTTTAATTACAGCAAAGTCAATTAGATCGGGAATCTTATTGAGGTCTGTAGGCCAATAGGTAGGTTGGCCACTAGATATGGCATCTAGTCTGTTATGCGATATTGCTTCTAGCAATTGTCTGCCTTTGGGAGTAATGAGGCGAGAGCCCCAAAATGTATGTTTTGCATTATAATCACCAGCTGCTATGAATCTTGGTCCAAGAGTTTTAAAGTAATCGAGAAACTGCTCTCGATTAATATTATACCTAGGAGGACAATATATTGAAGATATTGTAACTCTGCTATCAGGTATATTTATAGAGGTGGCCTGGATATGGTCCTTTTCTGGCATAGAGCTTTGAGAATTTGTTTCGGGTGCGGGTACACCCTCTAACGTGGTATTATTTTCATTATTTGTTTGCAGATTTTCATTATTTTTATTTGTAAGACTTCTATATTGGGCACTAGAAGTTTGTTTTGCATTACTTTGGGTAACGGAACCCTCTTTTGTCGTATGGGCATACGATTTATTCTGATTGCTTTTATTTGTGATACTTCTATATTGAGCACTAGAAGTATTTGGAAGACTTGGGAAGTTAGAAGCTTTATATTGAGCATATAAAGGTCTTCTGGCCTTATTTAATTGTTGAATGTGTATATATACTGGACATCCGCAATAGTTAGCAGTGTGATTTTGACCACAGTTACTGCATTTTCTTTTATTGTTATCTGTTTTTTGGTGGGGACAATCTTGGCTTTTATGGATGTCTCCGCATCTCACACAAACTGATGGTAATTTGCAGAAAGTTCTGGTGTGACCGAACTCTTGGCAATTTAGGCATTGAGGAGGACCTCTGCGTTTAATGGGTTCCTCTACAGTTGTTTTGCGATTAAGAAGATATCTTAAACTATATATGGGATGAGTATCACCCTTTTTCTTCAATTGTGAAGAGTTAAAAGTAATTTCAACTCTAAACATTGGTTGAGGAATTTTGTCCTTGTTAAATATATTGTGAATGGACTTCACTTCATAACCTTCAGTCTCTAGCGCCTTTTTAATGTCATCATTTGGTAAAGAACTATCTACACCTTTGATAACTACTGCCAAACCCTTTGCACTTTTTAGTTGATATGTGTAATAATTTCTTTTCTCAGAATCAAAACTATCAGCTATTGTTCTAAAAGACTTTTCTGAATAAGTCTTTATTTTTGTTTCCTGTTTTCTTTGCCTACAAGTTGGGACAACTTATTAACCAGTAGATTTGTGGTAGGTTCGCGCAAATAGAGGGGAGGTGGCTTGTGGTCTTTTAGAGGCATGGATGGTGCTTTTTCACTTTCCTGGTTGTCAAGGAGTGCAAAACGATTTTGACTTACCGAATTTGTTTTCGCCTGTTTTGGATTTGGTTCCAATTTTGAAGTCCTAGGGCTGGACTTACGTTTTGTATAAGTGACATAACGGTCCATTCCAGTTTGGATCTTTTCCGTTTTATGCGAGCTCAATGTATTTGGCTTGTTTTTTGGTATGGCACCAGTATTCTTTGACATTGGGCTTGAGTGATCTTCCTTATCATTAATGGTTTTTATAGTGTTAATATTGTTATGTCCCCATAATACGCGAGGAAATCAAATTCTCTTGTTTAACCTACTTGTCGAAACTAATGGATCACCCAAATCCCCTTGCCAGGGAGTTGCTGTCATTTGAGGGTCATAGACGACTGAGAAGAACGGAAACATTGGATTTTGCCAAATAATCAAATTATCGAGAACTTTGGTTAAAATTGCATTGGCAATAACAACGTTAGTTATAATTTAGGTTAAGATTTTGATACTTATTGTAAATTTCTACATAAGAAAGATTCAATAAAGAATAAATAAAATTAAAAAAAAAAAAAATGCTGTTATGTTGTTATCATTAAACAATCTTGTATATTTTATAATTTTAATTCAGAGATGGGATTTTTTTAAATCAGAGAATTTCATTTATATAATTATATAAATTATTTATTTATTTTATATATTTAAATATTGGTAGAATTATTAACGCTATTCAAAAATATAAAGTATGGTGAATAAACATAAATGTTATTTGGCCCATTTGTATCGTTAAGTTGGTTTTCATTCTGTGGCTGATTCAGTAATTGTGCAATATGTAGATGTTTTTCTAAATCGCTTACTTTAAATTTTTGAAGTTGTTTTTGTAAATTTTCTAGTTCTTTCTGTAAAATTTGTTGCTTTGTAATTTCAACTTGTAGCTTCACTTCATGTTGGTTCCTTGTTTCCGTTTCTTGTTCTTTTAACTGTTTTATTTCATTTTGCAATTTTTGTATTTCCATTTTCAAATCTTTTTCTATTTGCTTATTTTGTTCTGTAAGATTTTGCAACTGTAGCAACAATTCATTTTCGTTATCTTTCAAATCTATAATTTCTTTCTGTAAGTTATTACACTCGGTTTCTTCTAGGTCGTCCAATGCATTTAATTCTTCCTCTTTAAATTGTGGTTCATATTCCAATTTTTTTGGAATTTCCATTTCTTTGCTGTATTCACACACAAAGCCAAGCCTATTTGTACAGTCGATATCATTCCATTTCCAATTTTCACGTTTAATCAATTCGACACAAAACTCATCATTTCTGTTAAAATCTGGATTGTAATCAATCCAATTAGTGTAACTGAATTTTTCCCCTGTATACAGCCAAACAAGGTTCCTACTCGGATATAATGTCCAAATGCCGCCAATCCAAAGATTGCCTATATTAGTTTGTTTTTCAACATTTTTGAGTACCATGTTAATTTCATGGGATTTTGATTCCGATTTTATTTCCAGCAGATTCATATTCATTTGTGTGCAGGCATAATTAGCATCGAACCAATTAAACTTTGAAAATAAAATGTTATTTAACACTTATTTTATAATTAATAATTAATTTTAAAATAATAACAAACTAATAACAAATATTTTACAACAAAAAAAATTAAGTACCTTTTGATCAAAATCAATGTAATAGTTTTTATTTGTAAATGAGGTATAAAGTTGTCCAATTGCATTAATCTGAATAATTTTCAAAATTAAATTTATGATCAAGAAATAGTAATAACTTTCAAAATACATTTTAGTTATTTTCTGCAATTAGTTCCAATTTTAAATACTCGTGCTACTTTGTCAACAATAAAGTGTCTAGTAAAATAAAAGTGTGATGCACATTGAGAAATACCGGAGAAATGTGAAATACATTTTAAAACAAACTTATCAGTTCCCTGTCAGCTGTTAATACAATAAGTAAAAATATTGAGTATGTATGTATATTACTGAAAAAAAAGTATTCTGTATTTATGCTGACATTTGTGACGCCAAAAAATAATTGATTTTATAACCGTTTTAAATCACTTGCCTGTAATCAATTAAAATATTGTGTGTAAGATACAGGTTTCAACTTTTAAGAATTCGTGGTATATTTGGTACATACGTTCTACTGAAAGTTGACACAGTTACTCAGATATAAGGATCGCTTCAGAAAATTAATTTAATGTCAATGTTAGTGTCGTATCAATATTCGATTGGAATAAGTTTTTTAACGATCCTTGATTGATTGATTAAGGGGGGCACCAAGCACTACGACCCATACAGATGGAATTTTATTTTACTTTTTCATTAGACTTTACGTCCGTAAAGTGTGATCGTGTAAAGTCCCCTTAAAATCGACTATAATTCTACAAAAGTAGAAATACAAAATATTTTCCTATGGAATCTCTTAATGAGTAAATTGAACTGATAAGTTGTTTTGTTGTTTTCTTTTATAGGATCGAAAGATAGTGATACAATGTAGAACAAGTAAGAAAGTATAGTCGGGCGTGGCCGACCATATGATAACCTACCCTAGTTATAAATATTAAATGTGATTTAATAATAAAACATTTATCTTGATATTAACTTGTTTCCGATATATTTAATATATTTACGGACGAAAAACATATTTTCTAAGACAGTCTTTATATGGGGGGCAAGGGGCAACTATGGATCGATCCCGATAACATTTAGTGCATAGATTTATATTTACATAATATATATTTTTGCGCGATATTTGTGTTTATAAGTAAATTGTGGATATTCAAGTAATTTTCTGAAGGGGTCTTTGTATGGAAGCTAGAGTCAAATAAAGCCCGATCATTACCAAATTAGTCAACGTCATCAATTCTTGTATAAAACTTAGTTGTACCGCTTTTTATCGAGATACAAGTATATTTAACATAATTATGAGCTCAAATGCACTTTTCAGGGGGCTCTGTTGTATGGGGGCTAGGTGAAATAATCGACCAATTTTAACAATTTTCAATAGGCTTCGTCCTCCCCACTAAAGAGTTGTAGGGTATAAAAACCTAATTAAATGTACATGTTATTAACTTACACCAGCAATGATTTAGTTTAAAGTGATTTTCTTAATTAACAAATATTTTAACGAATTATATATTACTATAAAATTTATGAGCTGTTTACAAAACATAGGTTTTAAAAGAGTCACAACTTTTTATACCCTACACCACTATAGTGGGGAGGGTATTACACGTTTGTGCTGATGTTTGTAACACACACAAATATTGGTCCTACACCCACCTTTAAGTATACCGATCGACTCAGAATCACATTTTGAATTGATTAAGACATGTCCGTCCGTCCGTCTGTCCGGCTGGCTGTCCTTGTAAACCTTGTGCGCAAGGTACAGGCCGCAATTTTCAAGATAATTTGATGAAATTTGGACCAAGGACGAAGCCTATTGAAAATGGTTGAAATCGGTCCATTATTTCACATAGCCCCCATACAACCGTACCTCCCGATTTGGGCTTTTTATGCCATAATTACGTCAAATATACTATTATCTCTAAAAATTGGCACAAATAAGTTTTATATAAGTATAAATGACACTGCAGATTTTCGTAATGATCGGCCCTTATTTGACCCTAGCCCCCATACAAACCCCCCTTCAAAAAATTTCTTAAACGTCTAAAATTGACTTGTAACCATTTGTATCGCAATGAAACTCAACATAATTAACATTAATAACCTATACTCCTATATAAAGCCTCATTTAGAAAATTTGTTTTTTATAAATAAATTGCTTAAATACTTTGGAATTAACGTAAAATTCAACATAAAAGTTTCTTTGTGAAAAATAAAAATTTTTAAAATATACTCATGGTGTAAGGTATTATATGGTCGGCCATGCCCGACTATACTTTCCTACTTGTTTGTTTATTAAAACTTAAATACTTTATGAAATCATTCAAAAACATATTTTTTATTTATTTATCTACAAGACAATTCTGCAAGGAATATTTCTTATCGATTTTTGACTACAAATACTTTTTGAATTTTTATAGGTCATTAGAATGCTCAAGTGTTAAACAGTTGTTATAAAAAGATATAAAGGTTTATTAGAGTAGGGCGACAACGATATCATTTAAAAGTACTTTGAAAGCATATCAGGCAGCAATCGTGATAAAAATTTTCAAAAATTGTTTTATGCTTGTTTGACATATATGATATATGGCGGACATCGAACCATAATTGACTAACCCCAATATAAGGCCTACTCAGAAATGTACTCTAACGCTCATAACTGATCTAATAATATCAGTATAGCGAAACAATTCGACACAAACATGTATTATTGGAACAAAAATCTCTGTTTCTGTTTTCAAATAAACCACGTTTTACTTCGAAAAGCACGAAAATTTCGTAGGAGCGCTCATATGATACCCCATTTGTTTATAGAGAACTTTTCGATTAAAAATTTAAATAATTAAACAGTTTCTTACAATACTAACTTGTACATAGAACAAATACATTGGGAGTGATAGGTTTGTATAGCTTCAGAAAGTTTGGATCATAACTTGTTGTTTAAAGTTTCAAAAACGACTATAAATTTTCATTTGTTAGTTGGCTTCTTACCTAACTCTTCCCACTTGCATTTAAACTTGGACAATTTTCCACTACACAAAGCTTTACTTTTTAAATTAATCAACTGCATTTCTAGAGATCCGGTACCGATTCCAAATGGCTCAATGGGGATTTATTCTCAAATGTACGATTGCCAGGGCAAAAAAAAATCAAGGACATGAGTGAAAGCTAATGGTGTTGTTTCCGTTCTTACTCAAGAAGAATTTTTTTTGTTTTGTTCATGTACAGAACGATTAAACAAAGTTGAATAGTTATGTATATTGTAGAAACGTTTGCGAATTGTTTTTTAGTTTTAATACACTGCTCTTTAATCGATTCAGAAAGATTTTAAATTATATAAATATATTTTTTTATAAAATAAATAAAATGTGTGTATGGAACTAAAGAGCCGCAGCTCCACATCTAAAGAGCCGCATTTGGCTCGCGAGCCGTAGTTTGCCGACCCCTGTTCTAGGGAACAGAATACCACAGATTTTTATTGAGTTATAAATTTTTTAGAATAAATTATTTATGTCGTTTATCTTAATATGTATCTTTGTATGTATATTTAAACGATTTTTAACAGATTTTGTTTACGTTTTTTTTTCATCTATTTTCTTTAATATTCATTAGTCATTTCTGAAGTGAACCTTACTTGGAGGTCAACTATAACACAATTATTGCTATACTTCAAAGTATGATTTTTTTATACATATTTAAAAATGTTATTATAATTTCTGCACAATCAACATTTTGAGAACCAAAGCCTATTCGGGGGTTCGATTGTAGAAATAATGAACCGATCTGAACCAATATCAATATGGTTCTCAAGCCAAATGTGGTATAGGACCAATATGTTCGCGCGTTACAAACATCAACACAAAGCCATAGCACCCTCCTAAATATAGTGCTCTAGGCTATAAAAAGTCTGCCACTTCTTATCGGTTAAATCATGTAGAACAAATCATATATTTTTGCCACTATAAACAGAATTTGCAATAAATACTTTTAATGCACATTTAAAATTAAAAATTATAACAATTCGCAATTTTTCACAGTTTGAAACGTCAAACCAGGGTGCACTTATAAGGTGAAGTCAATTCTACAAAAACAACAAAAGTAGACACTTCTGTCAAAAAATTTACATGTTGCCACCGTGTTTTTTTAATTTACCTTACAAAAAGACAATCCCACATGCCCAAAAATCTTTTCACGTAAGTAAATATGTATTATAAGATAAAATTTATTAAAAATCTCAAACAAAATTTTTATTTTATAAACGGTATTTTGTATGGAAAAGAAACAACATTTTTTGAATTTGATAATAATTGTGTGGAGAGCATAAATTTAAATAATTGACTATAACCTCTTGTCAACAATATTTGTTTAAATAACTTTTATATGAGGAAAAGTTCTGGTAAGAATAAAAAAACTTAATTAGTAATAACAATCAGTTCTAATGAACGTTAATTAATATTTAGGAAAGTTGCGAAGAATAATTTTTATAGAAGTTCCCTGCCTTTTAAAGAACGAAACCGTAGGCGCACACCACTGGCTGGAGCAGGGCCAGCCAAAGTGGTTTTTAATGAAGATTGATGCTATTGAATCTTAAATACTAATCCTCCCAAAGAAAAGAAGACTCAAACCAACCTCTGGCATAAAGTAAACACCTTGATTGAGCACAAATAAAGAGTGAGGAAAAGTGTAGCCAAGTGGGTCGAAGTAATATAAAGAGAAGATAAGAAAAAGGACAAAAATAATAATAATACATCCCTATATAACCATAAAAAATTAATAATATTATATTCTATTGTCATAGTATTTACGTAGTTTTAAATATTAAGGTTAGTTTGTAAGTGAATCTGTTGAGTGTAGTCCCAAATATTTGTTTGTAAATCTCTTGTATGTATGCCAATTTTGAAAACCTACAAACAAATAGGATACTTTAAAGGAGAGTTCAGTTGGTAAAGTAAACAGGATATACCATAGAATCTGTGAGTAGCTTTTAGTATACTGAGATAAATTAATGATATCTGAAAATCCAGTTGAGTGAGCTCATTCAGGTGTAAAAAAAATTAGTGATTTGTGACGGTGTAAGTTGTGTATCGAACATTACTATTGTGAATCAGGTTATATTTTCCTTCCCCTTTTGATAAGAGTGAATAGTAGATACTCTTTGTTTCGGTGTTTTCCCCTACATATGTGAAAGAGAAACATTAGAATTGTAATTTTTATGTTTGTAACGATAATTTAAGTTTTTTTTAATTATTAACATATTATTAAGAAAAGAAGAATAACAAAAAGGGATATTAGAAATATAATATAGACCGAAAAATTTAAAATTAGATTGTTGTTTCAAGTCCAACGCCTGTAAAACAGGATTCGATTTAATTTGGCCATTTCGGCCTGCAAATAAAAATAAAAGAAAAGAGAATTTTAAATAAAGAAAAAAAGAACAACCTATTGTTAGATTTAAGTTAAGAAATAAGGAATAAGCATTTAATGAGAAATTATAATAAATAATGTGAGACTAGATTAAGTGAAAGATGAAGGCTTAAGTATTTTTATATGGGTTGCTAATATGAAGTAAGGGAAGAGAAAATGTATGACATACGGGGGTCGTCCGAAAATATGATGGCATAGAGAGACGACCAAGGTTGGGAAGGGCGGTTGGAGACTTACACCTGTCTCCCTATTCTGCTGCATGTGAGTGTAAAGTAAATTCTTAATGTTTTCATCAATTTTTTTTTTTATTTGTTTACGGTTCGGGACGAGAGTGAGGGAACACACCCTAGAAGATACCAAGTGCATACTAGTCGGCGGATCACTCTACGTCCGAATAACACGTATCGTAACAAGGTACGTAGGAGTAGGCCATCACAACATATTATTATTTTCTTACCTTTCCTTTGCCTCATAAACCAGTTTCATTAAAAAGTTTGCGTCGAGTTAATTCCATGTTCAAAATGAGTTAATTTCAGAGTAAGAAGAGCGTTCAAATTGATTTCTCTCCCGGGGATATTAATTCAAGCGAAATTCAACCGGTTGCTTACAGAAGCTGTAAAGGAAGATGGGCGAAAATTTCAAAAGAAAATTATGGTTAATTTTTTTTATTTTCGTTCAAACTGTTAAATTATACTTTTATTGAATTATAATACATATTAACTTTATTTGATGATAATTTTTAAATAAACTTGCATAATTTTAAAATTAATATAAAATAAAAATATATATTTTTTCTATAATAAAATCTGAAGGCATGGTACTTTAGCTTACAGATGCAAATAGGATTGTAATCTACATACATTACATTCTTATTTGCAAGCGTTTTAGGCGTCTCATTAACTTCGCTTAGAACTCCATACATTATATAAGTATAATTTTAATTTGTCCTAATGATATTGTGGCTTACATTCTAAGCGGGAGCACACTGATGAGGCAGCCTAGCACACTTTTATGTTAAGTCTAAGTGGAAGAATAAGTGAAAGCATCACCACTGACTGCCACGAATTATAACATAATGTGTGAGTACATAATGTGTATTTTTACCGCTGGTTTATTGTGAATCAGGGATGGAAAATGAGATTTTGTTTCAGTATCAAAAAACATTTCAGAAGGTACTTTTTTGGATCTGATAGTACCTAAATAATATTTTTGCTAGTATCGATTGTTTATTGCCAATAAATCGCTTCAATATGTGTTATTAAATTAAAATCCGAAGTATGAGTTCATTTGTTAAAAAATTTATTATCAAATCAAATTCGACACATTTCGCTCCATGACGTGAGACCTTACTTAGGATATTTACTCGTACATTCGATTCTGAATATGACATGAAACAATAATTTGCTTTAAAGTCCAAATATTTCTAACCAGAAACTTCTAATATTATCTTTGGTTGAATGCTTTATTTCAAAACATATCGTTTTATATTAAATAGAAATTGAATCCTTCAAGTTTCTATCATTTGGAAATCATTTGTTTTAATGCCAAATATTTTTCCAAAATTGAAATGGTAATTTTCTCATAAAATATTGAGAATGAAATTTTAATTAGATTAATATATTCATATAATGTCAATCAAGAAAGAAATAAATACAACTTCCGATTCCAAAAATTTTAAATTGACCAATCCTAAAATTTAATATGCAAATTAAATTTATATTATTAATTGCATCTATTTGAAGTATACATATGTACAAATGTTTTCGATAAAACAAAAACTTGAAATATCAATTAAATGCAAATGCTTTAATAAGAACAGCAAAAACAATTAATAAAATCGTATACATATTTATAATATTTCGAGTTTTCGGGACCCATTGCATTTGTGATGTAAGACTAATGGATGTATGCACAAATGGAGTGTGTCTTATTCGATATTTCCCCGGCTGGTACGTATTTTAGCATTAACTTTAAACAGAACTTTAAAATTATAATAATGAAAGACTTTAATGAAATAAAAACAGGAAATTTGAAATAATAAAATTTTGAAATAATAAATTAGTATAATATATACATATTCTATAGACAACCACACAAACTTTAAAGATTATTCTACTTTTTAAATTTAATTTAACTTGGGGCTATAAACCAAATTGATATATTGAAACAAAAACTAATCTGAGGAAATAAGTCGTATTTTCAATATTCGACACTTTTTAACTATCGGCACATTTGAATGGTTATGTTAAGTTGATATGAGGATGTGTCTACACTAAATCCGAAGAAATACACCTAGGCCCGTATCGGGCCTGTTGTACGTTCCTCTTCGTGGAAAATGTTTGTTTGTAAGAACAGAAACCTTATATAGTATTCACTGCATGTATTATTCGATGTTCAGAAACTCAGATTCCGGGATGTAATTTCTAAAAATTATCCAATCAGTGTTCGTAAGGGATGTTATATCCGGAATAATATCACTCCCGAGATATTTGAATATAATTACTATGAAAGCTTGGCAATGTCAAAGAAAGTTCTACATAGCAAAGAAAGTGCTCTAAATTCGTCTAAACTCGCACGTCCAATTTTGTATAGCTGTGACGACAATCCTGTGTCTCCACTCAGAATACGTAACCTCATACTTGCTCATTTTGAGGAGACTTCTCCTCCTGCTCTCGTTAGGGTCACCCCATCTTTGTGGTTCTACCCACCGTTTTAATATTCCAAGAGGCCTTATGGGATTCTCTCACCCATATCCTTATACCCTTCATCTTCATAAGAATTTCTATTATATAATTTTTCGACCCTATAGCGGAGTCGATTATGCTATGTATGTTTGTTGAATTCATTTTGCTGAAGATCCCAGATATCTTCCTTTTTAAAATTTCTGTCAGATATGTTTTCGAAAAGTTAGCTATTAATTAAATTAAACACGCATCATACTGATTTAATTAAAATTTATAAAAGGGGAGTTTCTCGTACTTATGGCCGATCATATGATACCCTACATCAGTGGGTATGTTACATATGTATCTATAGATAAAAGTATATTAAAGACTTTAATATGACAGATATATATTTTCTAGTACTCCGTTCAAAAACCCCAATTTTGGATTATTCCCGTCTTGTATTTCGCTACTAGTGCGAAATTTTCGAATAATGGCGTAGTTATAGAATCAACATAATTACTTTGATACGCAATATTAAGATAAGCGAGTATCTAAATATAAATATGGTATAACAAATTGTCGTATTATATAAAACCCCTAAAGACTTTTTTAAAACATTGTTTTTTTTTTTTCTAAGAAAGAAAAAAAAACAAATTAATTTAAATAGAAAATAAAATTAATAGAATTGTTTTTTAATCGTAGAAATTAGAACTATAAAATCAATAGTTTGATACGCAATATTAAGCGGTATCTAAATATAAATATAGTATAACAAATAGTTAGATAAATTATACCAAAAACCATAAAAAACAGATTTAAAAAACAACACATTTTGTTTTCAAAAAAGAAATCAACAAATTGATTTAAATAGAAAATAAAAAATTAATAGAATTGTTTCTTTTTTTCAATCGAAGAAATTGGAACTAGAAATACAATATCAGATCTTGGTAGACGATCTTAAACTTCAAAACAGTTAATGTTTCAAACCATTAATTAATTTTAAAAGAAGCATGTTACGAGTATCTGCGTCGGTTTGTCTACAAACACGTTCCGATATTTGATTAAAAAAAAGAACAATAGCTTCA